TGGCCCAACTGCGTGCGCCAGCACATCAGCACCAGCGGCGTCAGCTCGGCAGCCCAGCATCCACGCAGCCCCGCTGCGGGCTGCTGGTGGCAGCACATGGGCCAGTACCTGCACCGCTACGGGCAGGCAGAGGGGGAGGAGGAGGCGGTGGCAGGGGAGACCGAAGTGGAGGAGGCGGGCACGGCGCCTGATGACGAGGCTGGCGAGCCGCCGTATGAGGAGCAGCAGGAGGAAGGGGAGGATGGGGAGCTGCCGCCGCTGGAGGAGCAGGTGGAGGAAGGCGAGGAGGCGCCCCCTGAGGAGCAGGAGGATGATGGGGAGCTGCCGCCGCTGGAGGAGCAGCCCGAGGAGGAGGGCGAGCAGCAGGAAGGCGAGGAGGGCGAGGAGCATCAGGCGGAGGAAGGAGAGGAGCCGCCGGCAGAAGGAGAGGGCGAGGAGCCGCCTGCAGATGGGGAGGGCGAGGAGCTGCCAGCTGAGGAGGGCAAGGAGCCGCCTGCAGATGGGGAGGGCGAGGAGCTGCCAGCTGAGGAGGGCAAGGAGCAGCCTGCAGATGGGGAGGGCGAGGAGCAGCCAGCTGAGGAGGGCGAGGAGCAGCCGGCAGATGGGGAGGGCGAGGAGCAGCCAGCTGAGGAGGGTGAGGAGCAGCAGGCCCCCGAAATGGCTGAGGAGGGCGAGCTGCCACCCGTCGAGGAGGGTGAGCAGCCAGCCGCCGAAGAGGGGGAGCGGCAGCCAGTGGAGGGGGCAGAGGCGGCGGCCCAGCAGCAGCCTGCTGGCACAGCAGGCGGCGACGAGGCGGCGCCGGGTGGAGCGCCGCTGTCGTCTGACCTGGCGGGGCTGCGTGCGCACCTGACGGAGGAGGAGCTTGGTGTGTTGCGGGAGGAGCTGAGCGATGCTGACCTGCTGGAGCTGGATGCGCAGTACCGGCAGCAAGGGCCGGGGCTGCAGGCCGAGCCTGCCGCAGCTGCAGGCGCTGGCCAGGCGGCTGCTGGTAAGGACAAGGCGCCCGCGGCGCCCGCTGCTGAGGAGGAGCCTGCTGCGGCCAGGGCCGCTGCTGAGGAGGCCGCCGCTGCCGCAGCGGCGGCTGCAAAGGAGGAGGCATCGGCTGCCGAGGCGGCAGCGGCAAAGGAGGCCGAGGCGGCAGCCGAGGTGGCCGCCGCCAAGCAGGCAGCGGCAGCTGCTGCGGCTGCACAAGAGGGGGCAGAGACGGCAGCGGCAGCAGCGGCAGCACAGGAGTCGGCAGCAAAGGAAGCAGCGGCTGAGGCCGCAGCTGCCATGGAGGCTGCAGCGGCGGAGCAGGCAGAGGTGCCACAGGCGGCCACCGTAAATGTGTCAGAGACTGCCACCAGTGCAGCAGCGGAGGTGGAGCTAGGCACGCAGCAGGAGCTTGCAAGTAAGCCAGGAGAGGCGACACCCGCCGCAGCAGCAGCAGAAACGGCGCCCAAGGAGCAGGAGGCTGCAGGTGATGCCGAGGTGCCCGCTGACGAGCAGGCAGGCGAGGCACCTACAAACGCCACCGCCGGCGGCCAGGCAGGCGAGCCAGCTGCAGACGCAGCCGCTGACCAGGAGGCTGCCGAGGCCGCGGTGGCTGCAGCTGCGGCCAGTCAGGCTGCTGAGGCTGCAGCTAGGGCGGTCGCTGAGGCGGCCGCAGCAGGCGAGGTGGCCACCGGGCTGCCTGGTGGCGAGCAGGGCGACGAGGAGTTTTACTGGGAGTCACTGTCGGTGCTGGAGGAGCAGGAGGAGGCGGCGGCGGCTGGGCAGGTGGATGGGCAGGAGGCGGCGGCGCAGGCAGAGGCGCAGCCGGAGCAGCGGCAGCCGGCTAATGCCCCTGCGGAAGAGTCGCAGCAGTCGCAGGAGGAGCGGCAGCAGGCAGAGGAGGAGGCCAAGGCAGTGCCGGCAGCCGAGGCCGCGGCGCCTGCCGCTGAGCAGCCCCTGGCAGCGCCAGCCGAAGTGGCACCTGAGCCCACGCAGCCGCTGGCTGGCTCCAGCCCTACCCTAGGTGCCCGCATTGGAGCCGCCATCGATGGCACCGTGGCAGCCCTCTCCACACTAGTAGCTGCAGCTCTGCAGCCCACCGTGGCGGTGGCGGCGGCCGCAGTGGCACTGGCGTCTGGTGCGCTAGCGCTGCACCCGCGCCTGACGGCACAGGCGGGCGAAGCAGCCGCTCCCGCAGCCGAGCCCGAGGTGAGCGGCTGGGCTGAAGGGGAGGGAGGGCTGCATGGCGGCAGCTGCTTTCTTCTGCCTCCTCGCCGTCCAGCCTCACAGCACAACGTGCCTGCCCCCTGCCCCGCAGGTGCCGGCGCCCCAGACCGACCGTGCCGCACGCGCCTCCCGTGGGCGCACCCCGGCCACCGCCAAGGCTGTGCGTCGAGCGGCGGCGGAGCAGCAGCAGGAGGCGGAGGAGGCGGAGCCGCAGGCAGCTCGGGGCCGGCGGCGGCGCGCCGCTGAGAGCAGCGATTCCGAGGCTGAGGGCGATGGCGAGGGGAGCAGCGGGGAGGAGCAGGGCAGCGTGCTGGGCAGCATCCTTCGCACCGCACAGAAGGTGGTGGGGCGGGCGGGCAGGCGCAGCGGCGAGGCGGAGGGCGCGGGCGCTGAGCAGGGTGAGGCTGGGTGGTGTCGAGGGAGGCAGGCTGGGGTGGAATGAGCAGCAGCCAGCAGCAGAGCTCTTCTCATGTGCCAGCCCACTGGGCTGCATCGTGCCAGTCGCCCTGCTGCTCTGTGGCTTGCCCTGTTGCGAGCGTGCGCCATTCCTCTCAATTGCAGAGGACGATGATGTGGTGGGCCCCAGCCGCGCCCGCACCGCCCGCAAGTCCACCGCCGGCGGCGAGGCCGGCACCTCCAGGCGCCGCCAGTCCACGCGCACGCCAGCGGTGCCGCGGGCGGCGGCCGAGGAGGAGGCGGCAGCGGCGTACAAGTCGGATGGGGCTGGCCTCAAGTCGCGTGGCACGGCCCCCGCACTGGCCAGGGGCCGGAAGAGCGCAGCAGCTGCTGCCGCGGCGGGCGAGGAGGCTGGCGGGTGCACGCCTCGTGCCGCCACCGCCAAGAAGGGCACCAGCAGGCAAGCCGCAGCATGAGCCCTCTGCCGTTGTCTTTTGTGAATTTTAGCTGTCTGTTCTGCTTTCATTTTTTTGTGTGGCAAGCTCGATGCTTCCTCTGCTGTATCAACGTGTCTGCTGGCCTTGAAGAGTGAGGGAGGCGCACAGGCGGGATGGGTGGCATGTTACAGCGCTAGTGACTCAGGCACATCTGGTTGGGGAGGTACAGGGCCAATGCGGCAGGGGCATCAATCTAAGAAGGGAGTGCTGGCACTGGACGCATGGGGCGGGGTCAGATGGGGCGCACGGCCGCCCAATGATCAAAGAGGCGGGTCAAATCGCAAGGCGCGAAAGAATGGGGGGCGGGTGTCGCTTATTGCTCATGCATTTGCAGCAGGCGGGGCGCTGAACTGTTCCGCTGGCGGCGGCGCGGCTCAAAGCTTGGCGGCGGCGGGGTCAAACCAGTGGGCTGCGGCGTAGGCCTCCCAGCGCGCCAGGTTGGATGCTGAGCTGCCAGCCCCGCCGACTTC